GGATGGGAAATTTAATTCTCCATCGAACAGCATTGGTTTTATTTCTTAATATTAATTAGGAGAAAAGATACGATTTTTGAATTAACGGGAGAGTTGTCGGGAGTCACTGCGCCGAGAAACCATTAATTTTTTCATAGCGCCGCGATTTTCGTCGCAGTTTTTATTTTTTCAGTGCAGAGATTAGNAGTCACTCTGCGCCGAGAAAACATTGGGTTTCTTATAGCGCCGTGACTTTCGTCGCAATATTAATTTTTTTAATGCAGAGATTAAGGGATGAAACGGGGGTTGATAGATGGGGAATTTAATTCTCCATTGAACAGTCTTTGTTTCATCCCTTAATATTAATTAGTCGGCGAATAAATCGACTGAAAATCATAAAGTAAACATTGAGTACAAGGAGGACAAAATTCTCCCTCCGAACCTGTCCCTGTCACAGCGGGACTGCTACTGCCGAGTTACTCACGCACCCGACTCACATTTACCGACAATTCGACCGGGACGCCGCCTTTCCCGTGGGGTACCAACTAACATTTTTGGAGTCAGTCAAACCCCCTATTCCGGGCCCCTACTCAGGGCTATCCTCTTTGATCCAGCGTATGGCAGCAAATGTGGTGACGTTTTTACGTTTCTCGTCCTGGGATCACGGTACAGAATTTCTTGACAGTCGCAAAAGAATTTAGCACGAGATTGTTTCACTTTTGTTGCAGCATTCAGTGGAGGTATNATCCAGCGTGTGGCAGCAAATGTGGTGACGTTTTTACGTTTCTCGTCCTGGGATCACGGTACAGAATTTCTGGACAGTCGCGAAAGAATTTAGCACGAGATTGTTTCACTTTTGTTGCAGCATTCAGTGGAGGTATATTGATATAATCATGTTCTAATGAAACATTCTTGAAGTCCTCTTTGGTCAGTATGGAGTGAGTGTGCTGATGAATTTGGTCGCTGTCAGCTGTTGTGGAATTAATGATAGTTCTGGAACAACTATTGAATTTCCTACTGTCCAATTCGACACTGGGCCCCTCATCCATCCTCGAAGAGCTGAATATCGGAGGATTATCTATGAGTGCCTCACTGTCGATATCCAGGTCATTTGGTGGAATTTCCTTGTCGATTACATTATCATGAACTTTTTGTGGTTTACCAGATTCTTCTTCTTTTTCACTGTCACTTGGGATTGGTTTCGTACAGTCACCTAGATGCCGATCCTCATCTAGATTCCTATTCCAAGTACTCGAACTGTTATCATCCTTATATTGAACTGGCTCATCAGTCGCTTTATTCTGTCTAGAGTTTTTTTCTCCACTGTCATTCTGGTATTTCTGATCTTTATGCTCATTCTTATCGTTATCTTTGTTTCTGTTCAGAAAATAAAAGGGTTCGCCTTTTTTTCGCCAATTCTCTCTACAAAAAAAATCATCTTCACTCACAGTACTATGTAAACTGATTCCACCTTTTGTACATTCATCATCAATCGTCTCGTCCCAAAAATCTCTTTTTCTCTTCTGAAACAAAATCTCTCATTGTCTCTTCTGAAACACCATCTCTCTTTTTTTCTTCGGAATTTTCTCTCGGTTCTTCAATTACAAGCCCATCGTGACAATCCTGGATATGTCTTCTCATTCTTGCAATTTTTTTCTCAGGGGTAATTCCTCCAGCATCATTCTTTCTTTTTGAAGGAAGACCTTTGACTACAGGACTGGAAACGTACTTATCTTGGTTCAGAAAATGTTTGAAGTTCGAGTTAAAGTTTATTTGTTCTCCCATCAAGGATCTGAGGTGAATCACAAGGAAATTATCGACGCGCTGAGGCAATCCATACTGTTTGAATACCTTGTCCTTGAGAATACTAAAATTAGCTTCTGAGGAACTTGAACTATGATGACCCATATAAAATGGGTTGCCAACTGCAGTCCACAACAAAAATTCTCTTCCAACACGTCTCAAATCCTTGATCAGTCCTGGCAAATAATAGGCATTTAATTCACTACCTTCTGAAGTTACTGCTCGAGCATTAGCAATGATTCTATCAATAAAACCTGTAATTTCAGGACTTTCGCGTTCTTCTTCGGTCGTTACCTCAGGATCGTAATCTTCAAGTTTTTGCATAGCTTTGAAATCCATAAATTCCTCTTCATCAAGAGGGCGAGCTGCCATGAATTTCTGCAGTTGCACACGAGCATCCTGAACACTTGCAGCATAAGGTGAGGTCAATTGGGAATCCTCATGGCTCTGGAGAGCTACCAAACAGGTTAAATAGAATAATAGCTTGAAGTCCTCTAGCGTTTGACAATCGACCATCAAAGCCAAAGCTCTAATAAAAAAATCTTTCACTGCTGATAATTGCAGATTTTTGAAGATATTCCATCTGCTTGCAGCGTGGATGAAGTGAGTCACGTCCGTGAACAAAAATGTCTCCACTGTTTTAGGTGTAAGTGTCTTCGAATCAACAGCAATAAATAATTTCTCTAGGTATTGGTTTGTTGTACACCCATTGAAGATTATTGATTCAGCTAGGAGAAGTGTCTTTGAATTATCCGATATACACCGCTTTGGTTTGACCTTAGCTCGTCGTACAAATGCACCAAGCATCAGCACAACAACTTCCGACTCCTGACATTCCGATATCATTTGATATACTGAGAGTATGGTCTTCGAGAAATTTATCACTATAGAGCATAAAAATATATGTCCACTTTTCAATCTCATGGGCCGATCTAATTTTCGAATCATACTCTCAGATGAATCAATAGTAATAACAGATTTTTGTCTGTTGATCCGACAATACTGTCTGTATGAAGCAATCTGCTCCTCTGTACCATAAACCGTGAAATATGGGCAAGCAGATACATGGGTGATGGTCCTAAAATATGGCTTTTGGAATTGGAGCTCTTCGATTACGTGGATTGGGTCTTTCTTCTCTCTTTTTCCCAATCCCAAGTCCTCTCGAACAAAATCCTGCTTAGCATGACGAATGACATCTAGTGAAGGAACAGTTGGTCCCACCGGCTGTCCTTGTTTCGTGGTTTCACGTACTATATTATTTCTAGTGTTGTAGCAGCCTTCAGCTTGAGCTCTCATCCCGATCATCTTCCTCTTTTCACCATTGCATGGACGAGTGACAGGTGCATGTTTTGTACGATACGTATCCTTAGTTCTAATGACCAGCGTCAACTGACCGGTGATAGGACAGGGTTCATTATCTGCAATGCCTATAAATCGATTGGCGCACGTTTGATCACGACAATGTACAACAATTTTTATGAAATATTTCCGGCTAGATGATGTATAAACCTCTCCTCGTTTGAAGGTAAATGCACATGGCATTCCATATTCCTGATAAAATAAATCGCTGATAACATTCGTCCATACGTGTGGCTTCAAGGTGTGGGTGCTCCTTGATTTCTTCAACTCAATGGGTTTGATCTGATTCCATACGTCTGGCGTTAAGGTTAACCTGAATGTTGCTTCATTTTCATCCACTTCGGAATCTGTTTCCTCCTGGTACGACCTCTCATCCCGTGACTCATTTACGGTCTCGTCAATAGTTGGAGCGGGTTTAGAAGGGGCTAAGTTGATACTCTTATTCTGTCGAGCAATAGTTAAAATTTTACGTCTATTGTCCGTTACATTTGTATACCAAGTGAGAGGTTTCCATTTCTGGTTACAATAGTTTGTGCTCATTTCTTTCCACACTTGGGCAGTGCTGATGGGGAAGACATTTGTTCGAAAATAATCTATGTTGGCTTCAATTGCCTGAACTGCCTCTTGCACTGTCACACAACTCTCCCGTGGTATGATGCAACTCAGTCTTTGGATACCTGAAAATAATAACCCTCAGTTTATAATAAAGTCATCTTCATGGTTGACATCAAATTCAAGCCATCATTACCAAAAAAAATAGCTCACCAAAGTTTATAAGCTAACAACTCCCTACAAAATGAGAACGATAATGACGATGTGAATGAAAACACAGACCACATGCTAACTGATGAACCAACACACTCATTCCCTCGTTCCGTTGTCTAGTTTGGCGCCCCTCTGTTTAAGCTATACTCTTTGAAAATACCATGACAAAAATCTCGTAATTGTAAATCACTAATTACATACCAATAAATGATTAAAATCTCAGTATATCTCAGTTACTACTTTCAATAAGGATTTTCGTCGACCGATAGTTTGTTTTGGTAACGATGGAATCATTTTTACCACTGTACACAGTCGGAGCGACTTGGGTAATTTCAATTATTTTTTTTTCAGGCCTTGGAAGCCTTCAATATGTTAAGGTCCATTTTATCAACATTTTTATTCAGACAATAGCGAAAAATTGATGCTTATTTTATTTTCACACATTTAACTTGAGATTGTTTATAGTTATTTATATTTTTTGATCATTTGAGGTTAAAACTATTTTTGGCATTTCTATCATGGAAAAATAGTATATTTCGTAACGAGTGCAAAAAAGTGTTTTTTGGCGAGTGGGAGGTTTATATCAC